TAGTTTTTTGAGGAACCTCCATACTGGTTTCCACAATGGTTGAACTAGTGATGCCGGGGGTTCTTGTTTGCGGAGTTAAAGAATGAGCTTAGCAAACACCCAAGGTAGGAAAGCCAGGGTAGAGGCTTTTATTTAGAGATATAGTGAGAGGAAAGAGCTCCTGGCTCATGCCAGGAGGGGACAAGAGAGCCCAGGGTGGTGTGTTGTCTAGGGGATTTATAGGCAGTTGAGGATTTTGGGGAACTGTGGGGAAATTTGGGAAGCTGTACCACCTGCTCTGCCCTCAAGGTGGGCTGGGTTGTTGTCTGTTTGCTAGGGCTGTTTACAGTAAAGTCACAGGTTCTGCTAAGATACCCTTGCAGAACACTCAAACATTCTAAGCCAAGTTGCTCCTGGCCTTTTGACGTTTAACTGATCTCACTGAAGATGTCTATATTCCTAGTCTAGTATCTTTACCCTAGAGAATTAGTGTGATCTTGACTTTGCATAATGCTGAACACAGAGTTTTGATAGGGACTTTACATTGTTACATTGCTTTGTAAATATCTTGCCTTGCTTTTTCCGGAGGCTCTCACCCTACTCTGTCTAAGCCCATGGTCCCTGTCTCACTAGTTTATATTCCCACCAGCAGTGTAGGATGGTTCCCCTTTCTCTGCATCCTCGCCAACATTTTTTGTTCCTAATCTTTTTGATGTTGGCCATCCTAACTGGTTATATAAGTGATTTTTAAAGGATAGTTTTGATTATTCAGAAAATGCATTTGCTATAGAATTTATTGTGCCTACTTGGTAAAGTGCAGCCAATACCCTGCAATTATATTTTACTCAAGTGGAAGTGGAAAGTATGTTTTAGAATCTTTAGCTGAAGAGAAGTTATTTAATCTTAGTAATACCTAGAAATCCCTGAAACATCATTTTAAGTTTTTTTCTTTTTAAAATACTTTTTACATCATTATAGAAAAGGTGAATAATTACATTCATAAAATTGTTCAGAGTACTGCTTGGATTACAGAGAGTGAAGCGTATGCCTAAAAATCCCCCACTGTTTTGTTGCTTTATTATTCAACTTTTTGTTTTTATTTTTAATGGAAGAAAGGTATAGAGACTCACTAATTAAGAAACGCAAGCTATTCAGCTATTGTTTTAGCTACCATGTTGTTTAAGACTTTTTTGGCCTTAATGACTTGAGAGGCTTAAAATACTTATACCTAACCAAAAGTTTATTCTTGAACAATGCTTACGTAAACTCTATGTGTGGGCGATTTGGAAGTAATTTCCAACTTGGAGCATGGAGCTTGTTAAAAAATGGAACTCAGGTAAACTTGAAGATCTAATTGGTTTTGCTAACTGATTCATGAATCTGGCAGCATCCCCTCTAGCAAGTAGAGATGTGCACTGAGGAGTTGTACAAAAATAGAAGGTTTCTGTAGACAGGAGGGTGGGGCAAAAATAAAGATTAGGGATTGTTTCAGGTATGGTCACCCTCCCTTAGGAGGAGCAGGGGTCTTATGCAGATTACCTTACTACTCATCAGGAAATTCCAAACGAATTGGATTAAAATTCCATTCCTGCAAGATGCTGAAACTGAAGTTAGGTTGGATATTAACCTCCAGTTTTGTGACTTGGCCTTGGAGAAGTGATAACAAGTTGGGCCTGTGTTTTTCTTTTTAACAGCTGAGTAAGATGAATATTCATAAGGCACAACTTTTTCATGCATGGATTTAATAGAGGAAAAGGTGCCTGGTGTTGCTTGTCCTTGCTTCTCTCAAATTGTGGAGACCAGTAAAAACTTTAAGCAGTCCCTAATAGGATAAAGTCAATTTAGCCAGGAAGGATATAAAGGAAGCTGCCTAATCTACTCTGCTTAGGGAGCATCAAGAAACTTTTCTTAATGTTTGGGTTTTAAATCTTAAAAGGGGAGAATGTTTGATATCTTGATCTGGATGATGGTTATATGACGCATGTCAGAATACTTCGAGCTGTACACTAAGATTTGCATTTTATTGTATGTGCCTCAACTTTTTAAGAAAGTCCTTAAAGGGATTTAAAATAGATTTTAAATAGTTAATTTTAACTGTAGAGCAAATTTGAGCCAGTTTATTAGAGAAATCCTCCAAAATGCCAGTGTAGATGGCACAGGAAATTTGTCTTGCCCTAGTGGTGCTCCCCGTAGGCCCCTGATTACATGAGAAGGGTAAGATTGTAAATCACCACTACTTAGAAGAACAACTCAGTTACATGAAAAATTGAATGTCTATCACAAGTTTCTTCTATGTCAAAGTAAATAAAGGTAAATAATTTATAGAATGGTGATTTAGTATTGCTTTGGAAAATAGTGCTTTCACTTTTGACTTTGGATTTATACAAGTATGAAAGAAATAATGGTTAAAAATAATTTTATCTTCCAACCTAAGGGTTTTTCTGCCCCACTTACTCCTGTTTTGCCCATAGCTATTAGGAGAGAGATTATGTTAAGAAATATTTTTTGAGATTTCAATGTCCTGATTTAAAAATAAATTTAAGAGTGTTTTTACTCCTTAGTCTATTTCTGTTGGACTTTTCAAGAACCCGGATATTGAGTTTATATATTCTTGGTCCGGTTTTTAAATTGTTTCAAATTAATCTTTATTCCCACCTCCCATTTTCTTTTGCTTTATTCTACCAACTCCTCTAAATTCTCCTGTTGTGTCTCATTTTTTGTTATCAAATATTCCCCATTTTGTTAATTTCTAGAAAATTTGTAAGTTTGGATTTTATTTCAGCATTTATTATTAAAAGTTTCTTCATGTATAAGTGGTTAACTGTTTAATTGTATGTATTTCTAGTTTATTGGATTATGGGCAATAACATCTTGGAAATTTTTTTTTATGGTCAAGAGTATGATTGATTTATAGTGTCTTCTGAACCTGAAAGAAGAATGTGAAAGATAGAGTTAGATAACTAAGAGCTTTATTGAGGACCTCATACATGGCAAATTCTCATCTGGGAACATTCTGATTTAATCCTCACCACAAACCTATGAAGTAGATATTACTTATTGTCACTTTGTAAGAAAGAAATCTGAGGACCAGAAAGATTGAGTGACTTGACCTATATGCCATTTTTTGTGTTTGTGTGTGTGTGTGTATATATATATATTAGACCTGGATTTATAATTCTTTTTTTTTATAAACCAATGTTTACTATTTATTTATTTAAAATTTTTTTATTAAGTTATGATTGATGTACACTCTTAGAGGGTTTCACATGAAAAAACAAGGTGGTTACTACATTTACCCATATTATCAAGTCCCCACCCATACCCCAATGCAGTCACTGTCCATCAATGTAATAAGATGCCACAGATTTACTGTTTGCATTCTCTGTGCAACATTGTTTTCCCCGTGCCCCCCAACACCATGTGTACTAAACAT